TGGCTGAAGATTAAACATTTAATCACAAACCCCTAACAGGCAAATATACTACCTAGGACAAAATTGGTTTCTCCTTCATGGCAATCTTGTTTTTTTTTTTTTTTAATTGGTGTGTGTGTGTGTGTGTGTGTGTGTGTGTGTGTGTATATATATATATATATATATATATATATATATATATATATATATATATATATATATATAGCTCTATCACTGATATTGAGCATCTTCCAATAAGTAAGGATGATATATATAATATATAAATAATATATATAAAAATTTTTATATATATATATATGCTGTCACTATCATTGCCATATATGTATGTATGAAGAAAAACATTATGAATAATTTAGTTAGGGAGTATAACTTTTGATTGACTGATTTGTTTTTTATGACTTATCAACCCATTGCAGGTTATTTAAAGCTAGAAAATATTTTTAGATTATAAGAATTTAATTAGGGTAGGGGAGATAATAATGATTTAGTGATACAAGTATTACTAATTAACCCATAGTTAGGGGGAGAATATGTAGATTCATACCTTTTTCAAGAGTATTTGTGTGTAAGTGAATATAATGAACCCAACAGAATTGGAACTCAGCTTTCCAATTAACAATTCCAAGCCATTATCCATCAACCACCAATTAAGGCTTACAGTACCTGGCATTCCCAAGCAGTCACCCATCTAGGTTTAATGTTGCTTAACTTCAGTGATTGTACAAGAATTGTTGTTTTAATGTGATGCGGTCATAAGCCCTTGTGTAACCTTTAAAAGAAATTGCAGTGGGTTTAATGATACAAAATAAATCTTTATATAATACAATATAATAATACAGAAGGATAAGGTGAAATTTGGACTTTTAAGTGTAAAAGTCCAAATTTGGACTTTTAAGTGTAAAAGTCCAGGTGTGTACAAAAATAACAGAGAAAGTAAGTCAGGGAGGAAGTAAATATATGTTTATTTTAGGAATGGATTTTTCATTTATTAATCCAACATATTTATAAAAACTTTCTTTACAGTAAGGGTCACCCTGTACAAAGCCCAGAGTCTACTTGAACTAGAGGGTTACGTTAAGAGACAATTTGTGTTGATAAGAGTGAAAGATAACAGTTAACCTTAAACTTAAACAGGTTAAAATTGTAATGATTGGGGAGGGGCATCCTCTTGGGTGTCGATTCCACAGAGGAGTGGTTCATGGGAAGAAGCTGTTCGAGTGGAACTTACTTCTCACCAATGAATTACGGAGAGAATGTGGGTGGTTTATTACAGTGTAAGTTGCATGACGTGTCCTTGCCTTGTTTGATCTAGTGAAACCAGAGAATTTGTAGTTTGTCCGAATACCTTCTGTAGAAGTAGCGATAAGACAGCAATTGGCTTGCTAGATCCTGCATGTGAGAAAGTGAGCTTATTTTTTTTTTAATAAGAGTTCTTGAATATTCAGGTCAGTAGATGTAAGTAAGTAAATAAATAAATAAATATGGTGTTTAATAAATAAATGGAGCATCTATTCAAAGATGGGCATTCACTAACAATAAAGTTTAATATGTGTATATATGCATGTATCCACATGTTTCACAATGGAAGTGAAGAAGGTATATATTTTTTCAAATGTAGCAGCAGGCTGCTTAAAAGGTGGTGAAGGAAATGGTGGACGTTTTTAAATGTAGCTGGTCAGTGTAGATGTCTTTAGTCACTAGCTGGTCATGCATCATTAAATATCACATTTCAACTATGGTATGTTACAATGACTACATTATTATAGAATGGACAAAATTAATTTATCAATTTTGGTTTTGGTGGAATTTACATCACTTCACAAGTGCCATTTTGATTCACTGATATACTAGATACAGATATATAAATTGGTTCAAATATTCTTATTCACAATTAGAAAAACAAGGACTGAATTCAACAAATGAACATTTTCTAAAGTATTTTTCTTACAATCAGAATCCAGTTATTTACATTATTCGGACTATTGTCCTCATCTTTGTTGCCATATTTATTACAACGTTTCGGCCTTCTTCAGGTAGTTGGAATGTCGAACTTAACCCTTTATTTCACTCACTGGGGTAGATAGACTGTTCTAGTTCCATGTGCCATGTTTAACGGATGTCGGTTATCAGTTCTCTCCTGTTAATTACCCTCTGAAAGTTCTCCACAATTTAACTGGGTATTGAACTCGCACTCTTTGGGTCCTGTCATTGGATCTAACTCATGCCTTTATCTACTGTGCCATCAAGGACACATGGCACAGTAAACAGGACAGGACCCAAAGAGTGTGAGTTCAATACCCAGTTAAGGCAGTGGAGAACTTTCAGGGGGGAATTAACGGGAGATAACTGATAACTGACATCCATTAAACATGGCACATGGAACTAGAACAGTCTACCCCAGTGAACGAAATAAAGGGTTCAGTTCGACATTTCAACCACCTGAAGAAGACCAAAGTGTACAATGGCCGAAATGTTGTAATAAATGTGGCGACAAAGATGAAGATGATAGTCTGAAGAATGTAAATAATGTACATAATACCTCATCTCAGAAATATAAACAGATATAGAATCCAATTATATGCAGGCTTATAGCCACATTATGTTGAAACACTGGGAATGCCATATGCTGTAAGCTTGGATGTGTGGGTGGTGTACCTCACAACAAAACAAGGGCAAAAGTCTATATAAACATATGTCCAAAAGGTGATCATTGTACCTCAGCACAGCAACTCATAACAAATGTTCAAAATGTCCTGTTTCCTTCTACACACACATGCATCCATTGGATCATTGACTGGCGGACCCCTTCAAATACTCCCACATGGTGTCAAATGGTTTTGCAGGCCCCTATGACATGTTGAAGAAGTGGACCTACCAGACATTCACCTAGAATTCCAGACCACACATTAATTGTAAACTGATGTTGGTGTCTAGTCTCTATTGTACTAGGGAGATTCTGATCCATCCACAAATGTTAGGTGTGTAACTTAATCCTTCTCTTCCAAAGGTTGCCTGTAAACAAGACTGAAGTGACAAACAAAAGATTGGCAATAAACCATTGGCAAATGTTCTCCCCTGTTGAGTGATCAGAGGGCAAAAGACCTTGCACACATTGCAAATGATATGGATACAGGAGCTGGTTTTAAAATACCCTCTATGCAGTACCATAAGATGTATGGTATGCTAGAGCCACCTGATACCTGGATTGTCTCTGACACCGTGTATAATGTGTGGTCAGGCATATGAGCGGATCTCAATCTTCATCAATCCGTGGTTTTTGTGGTGCCATGAATCCTGTCTCAGTAATATGATGATAAACAGCAGCAAAGGTTCAATGACTTGGCTGCCTTCATTCTTGAAACACAATCTGATAAAGCTGTGCAGCCTTGTGTCCATTACCATTCACATAGTCATATGTAAAAATCATATCTACCTGCTCATGATATGAATATCCTGCCATTTTTAAATGAAACACTTCTCAATTAACTCACTACTACACACATTAAACATTGAAGACAAGCCACAAATGAACATGAATGACAAATGTAACCTAGTCTACATGGCAAACTTTCTTTAAATTTAACTCAAAAACTAAGGATTTATGCATATATGTTTATATAGACTTGGTTTGGTGTGAGGAAAGTGTGAGTACTTTTGATACACTATATATATATATATATATATATATATATATGTGTGTGTGAAAAGTGTATATAAATATAAATAAATATATATGTATGATTATTTATATATTATATGCGTGGTACTTATTAGAAAGCACTCAATATCAGAGATAGAGCTTACATACATATATATATATATATATATATATATATATATATATATATCCCCTTCTAAGATGCTAACAGGATGCAACTGTGGTTTCAACCATAATAGATATCATCAGTAGTACCTTCAGCATATTGGCTGTTGACAACCTATATATAGTGGGTCACTACTTAGAAGGAGGAAGAGTATGAGGAAAAAAAATAAAATCAAAAATTTAAAAATAAAATGATATAATGATCTGCCTAGCTTATCCTGGCTCATAATTATCCAACATAAAATTGTCTGCATTTTGCCATTATTTCTGATCTTTTGTTAAGTAATTCACTGTTATTAGTATGAGTTTTTCTTCTTGACATAAATTGCAAGATTTACCAGTTACTTGTCATAGAACCATATATATATATATATATATATATATATATATATATATATATATATATATATATATATATCCAAATGTAAAAGATTGAAAAGAATATACTGTAAATTCAAATGTTCATAACATTAATTTAAAAAAGCGCTCAATACAAGAGTAGAGCAATAGATATTTATTATAAGCTGTTACATTGGAACATGCAAGTTACCACAGCAAAATCCATATTTGTTTCGATGTCTAATTAGACATCTCATCAGATGGTTATCATTGGTGATAATAAACGATTTTATTTTTAAAAAAATATCCCCAATATCATAAATTGTAATTTTAAATAAAATTGTTTATTACCACTAATGTCAACCACCTGATGAGATGTCTAATTAAACATTGAAACAAATATGCATTTTTGTCATGGTAACTTGCATGTTCCAATGTAACAGTTTATAATATATATATATATATATATATATATATATATATATATAAAACAAGCAAGCAGAAGACACTGTCTTGAGTCTTGACATCGGATGTGATAAGGTAATTTAATTTGATTTATGGCCTCCACTTATCCTCAGAGATTCCAACACATTTTTCCTCACATACAGGTTTGTCTATCTTTCATTCTAACCAGAGGAAACCAGAGAGTGCAGATGAAACACATTTATAAATTTTCCACATTGTTTCATCTTTACTTTCATACAATAATTTTTTTTTTTCATAACTATTTTAATAGACTTTAGTAAATTTTTTACTGTATTATATATACTATGGTATAAATTTTATTATTGTTACATCTTCATATAACATGCACTTTCTTTTTGTCTTTTTATTCCAGATGAATTCTCGAAAAACTCTGGTAACTACAGTAACAGTCACTATGACAACTACAACTTCTCCACCCTTGCCAGAAATTGACAGCAGCCATGATCGAGAAGAATCACCCAAGAACTCATGCAATGCCCAAACAGATTTCCAGAGACATTTTATCTATGAGCCTCTCCCATTCTATCCAAAATTGCCGCTTAATATGAGAATTCATGAAGAAGAACACGAATCCTCAAGATGGATAGGGAGAAATAAAAATGAAGAACAAGATCAATGCAATGGACAGAAACCTTCAAGATGGTTATTAGAAGAAGAAAAATATAACCAAGATAATTCTTCAAAATGGCTGCCAGGAAGTGATATTCCTAGTAGTAATAATGATAATTTTAACTGTAGTAGGTTTAGTAGCTCTAGTAATAATAGTATGAATTTTCCTAATAGTATTAGTAGTAATAATAATTCAAATTATTATAATACAAATTATATCAAAGATTGTAGCCAGATGTTAAGAGATCAATTTGTAGACCACCATTTTATTGGTCCATTGTCACCACCACCATCTTCTCCTTTATTAATGATGATGGAAGAAAAGATAGAAGGAGAAGTAGATCTGAGTGATGTTTCAGGAAGAGGTTTGAAGTATCCCCCTCCTCGAAGAGACTCTGATGGTCATATCCTTGGTTCAGCTAATTATAGTGCTCCATCACCTCCAGAAAGAGACTTGACACTACCACATCCTCCAATATCCTCTGAAGCTCTGGCATGGAAAAAAGAGAAAACACTATCTCCTCTTTCTTGTGAGAAACATAACGTTGCTCATTTGTGGAAAGAAGAGAATGATTCAGATCGGTATTATAATGTGCCATATATGCCTACAGATCCAACCTTAAGCATTACTGCTACAAATATCCATGCCTGGAAAGAAGATACAATCAGTGGGAAACATTCATTGTCAAGCAGTGGCTATAAATCAAAAAAAGTTGGTGAGTCAGTAACTAATGAGAGAAACTGTAGCCAAGCAACAAGCAGACCTTATATAGTCAAACCAAAACCATTTTACAATACAAGTACACAAACTGAAGAAACTGAAATAGACTATGATTTACAATTTAAGGTTGAAGAGAATAACAATATACAGTCCTTAGTTTCACCAATCCAACCAAACACAAGATCTAAATCAGAGCAGTCTTGCTTAGAAAAGGCTACTCAAGTTCAGCTAGCCAAAACATGTTCGGTAAACAGTGGTCACGTGACTTTGGAACAACTCAGAAGTCCAAATCACCAAGAATTTATCCCAGCTTCGGCACCACTCCTTAGAAAATTAACTGAGGAATATTACCAAATGAATATCAATGAAAGTAGTAACAATGAACTTGCTATGAATATTCACCATTCTCGGCAGCCAAGTATAGATACAGATGATCATTTAACGGATATGAATAAGTTTGATTTGAATATAAAGAAGACCGGTACTAATAATGTCAGTCAAGATCATAAACAACCATTGATGAATATTAAGTCAGACATCAATATTAACAAAACTCATATTAGTAAGCCACTGCCACCCTGTATGGATATGACTAGTAACAAAAGTACTGAGAAGGCTGTCATTAATGTTAATAATCAGATGCAACCTTATAGTGACGTGAAAAAGGATAACATTACTATTAATAACTTTAATGAGGCTAATACAAATATTTATGAATATGAAAAACATGTGAATGATTGGCAATCAAAATCCTGTATAGTTAATAAAAAGCAAAGTGCTCATGTAAATAAGCCTTGTACACAATTTAATATGGACATTAATGTTGATGATGCAACTATTAATGAACAAGGTTTTGGTATTGATGAACCTAAACTACAACCATTTGTTTGTGTTAAAAAAGGTAATTTGAATACTGAAAACAGTTTGAATAGTTTACAACTCCAGCCACAGTCTTATAGAGATGTCCCAATGGATATGCAGAATTTAAATGCTAATATATCTCGACCTCAAACTGGTAAGAACATAAAACCTAGTCTTGTCTTTAAGGAGAATCAGATGCGATTATCCAGAAGTGGAAAAAATAGCATAGAGACTGGTTATATGAATGTCAATGAGAAACTGACAGATATGCAAAAAAAGTTTGATACTGTGGATGATGTTTTTAAAGAAGCTAAGAAATTTCCCAAGCCAGTCAGAGGGGATCCAAAGTTAGCTTGTCAGAGGCAAGGAGTCACTCTGAATCCTTTGGGAGTGTCAAGTGAAGTTACGGATGAAATACAACATCCCTTTTGGTTCCAGTCCAATGAGAATTTAAAATCAAAGGTTGATTCTGCTCCCGAAAAATTGTTCATACAAATAACAGAAGAAAATTTAGCAAATTCAGAAACCCGAAACCAAGAAAATATATTTAGACAAAAAGAAAAAGATAATCTCCAAACAGCAGTAAATGAAGATGTAGATTTCAAATCTGCAAAGGTTAGATTTAGATCAAATGACTCTCTCTTGAACCAAGCAAGAGAAAATGCATTTAGCCAAACTACAAAATCTGACCGTAGAAATTCAGAAGGTAGATATGTAACAAAAGTTGAAAATATATCAGATCAAACAAGAGAAACGCACCCTCTAACTTTACAGAAGACATATGGATCCTCTACTGATATTCTGTTAAGCCAAACAGCAGATAAAAGTCAGCCTATTAATACCCGAAACTCTGGAAAGAGATATGAAAATTTATTTAAACAAACAAAAGAAAACCTATTTATGCCAAAAACAATGTCTGAAAACTTGGAGAACAAATATGGTTACTCATCTGAAAAACTAGAAAGCCAAAGCAAACCGAGCAATCATATTTTAAGTACTCCAGACTTGATCTCCAGCTATTCAAAAACTCATTTTGAATCTGCATCTGATATCCTTAATAACCCCTATAATTTACATCATGAAACCCAAGCAGTGAAGCCCGACCCACAAACTGAGACTAAAAAACTAACTCCTGAAACTGAGAATAGTACAAAATATCCAAAGAGAGGACTTAACACAAGGTGTCCATCAGTGGAACAAACTTTTGGAACATTTGATGATACATCAGAGTCTTTTGAAAACCAAAGCTTCATCCAACATGGACGTTCAGAAAGCCTTCCAATTGATTCCACTCATGAGAGTCCCAGTCTACATCTTCGTAGTTATTATAGCTGTACAGACGTCTATAAAGGAAAGTAAGTAAAATATAACATATGTATATATAATGCATGGAGGCATGGTGGAGTAATGGATAGTGACTCGTATTGAGGAATCGGAGAGCCGAGTTTGAATTCCAGTCAAATCCATTACATTCACTTATGTGCTAATACCCTTGGGAAAGTTATGAATCTTCCTCCCCCACCCCAGCTATGGGTAAATAGCTGGACAGACTGGGTTCTATAGCCTTGGATGGCAACTGGTCTACTGCAGAAAGAAATGGCAACCTACTTCAGAAAAAAAATCTACCTTGTCAGTCATGTATTGAAAGATACATGATCGCCTAATTGTGTATCACATATGGCACATAACTGACTGAATGCATCGATACTTGTTTCCTAGTAGATCCATCTGTTATTGTGGTTAGCCAATCTCTTACAATTTAGTGCATGTAAATTTTAAAAGGCTCAGTGCTGGATATGAAGACATTACTTAGCATTATTAAAAAAAGGTACAAAAATTATAAAAAAAATAGTTGAAATATTCATTCATTTATTCAGTTAGTGTATTTATGGTCACCACTTCTCTCTATCTAATAATTGTTGTTAATGGTGACATTGAAAGCATAATAGTGAAATGGCTTGACACTTCTTTTTGCACTGGGGATGTTGAGGTTACACCATCCCTCCACTTAGAAGTTAAAGAGACAAGACTTACAAAGGCAGCAGGTGGTTTGAATTCAGAGTTTCTGTTCTTGAATATGTTGCATGCATTCAGGGTTCAAATTAGTTATAGATATATTGTAAATCAAACCTCTACTTTAGAGAGAGTACATGTGATTCAAGTTTAAAACTCAAGTCTTCTTGAAAACAAAGAAATTTCCCATAGAAATAAAAATCATGTTTGTAAGAACAAATCAAATTACAATTTGCATAGGAAAATTCATTTTTAGCTTAACTGAATAATCTTTAGCCTTTACACAATGAGGTGGAACAACTACATTGAATCAATACCTTCATCTACTGCAAGGAAAGTTGGTTCTCTGTTTCACATCAGGTTTTTCTCACTCGAGTCCATCCTTCAAATCTACCATTTATACTTGCATTGAATATTGCTGCCATATATGGTCTGGTACCCTTGCTGTTCATCTCAAGGTCCTTGACAACATCCAGAGATGGATATGCAATGTGATAGGTCCTGACCTGACATCTTGTCTACAGTCACTTTCTCACAGATGTGCTGTGGCTTCCCTCTGTCTTTTATATTTTATACAAATATTTTTATGGCAACTGCTCTGACAAGCTACTTTCACTGGTACCCAAACTGCATGAATTTAAGCATGCTACTAGTTTGTTATTTCAGTCCCACCCTTTCACTGTTGAAATGGTTAAATGTAGCCATCTCTTCTACTCCAACAGCTTCTTATCTCACACTTCCTTTTACTTACTTCCTTGATAGCTATAATTTTCAAATATTCAAATGTAATTCTTCTGATGCCTTGATCTTGACCCCTATCTTTCTCTTTATCCTTTCCTCAAACACCCCTCTTTACTCTTGCTCTTTCTCTCTCTCTCTCTGTAACCACTTGTTCTAATGGCACTTTCACCTTGGGGTGATATGCTTAAAAAAATATTTACTAAAAATTATAACTTTAAACAATGTTGGGAATAATGTTGACTCAAACAAAACTGACACTTCTCTTTTATATTTTTATCACTTGTTTTTAAATATCTTGCATTGCAATAGCAGTAGTTTATGATTTAACTGTTTCACCCCAAGCAAGGAAACAGTGCCACTAAAATGCAAGAGGGTTACAGAGAGTGAAAGAAAAGGAGGAGACTTTATTGAGGAGAAAGGACAATAAAAGAACAGGATTCAGGAAAACAGAAGATGGTGATAATGCCACTGAGACGCAAGAGGGTTACTGGGAGTGAAAGAGAATGAGGAGACTTTAGTGAAGAGAAAGGACAATAAAAGAACAGGTATCAAGAAAACAAAAGATGGTGATTGATATTGCATTAAATTTTTGAAGATTGTAGTTGGCAGAGAAGCAAGAAACCAGAAGTGAGTTCCACAAGGTAGAAGTACAAAAAAAGCAACTATTAGAATAGAACTTATAGCTACATCTAGTTATTTTCAATAGTAAAAAAAAATGAGACCTAGTTTCCAATATAGTAGTACATTTAAATTAATGTAGTTGAGGTACCAGGGATGAAATCTCATTAAGACAATTGTTGTGAAAATATTTATAGAAATGACAGAAGGGATTGGAAAGTAACTGAAGTTGAGATACCAGGTCAGGACTGATAATATTGCAGATGCTTCTTTGGATCTTGTCAAGGATCTGGAGATATATAGCATGGGCATAAGACCAAAGTTTTGTTAGGAAAGAATATATGTTGTATAATCCTGGATGTAAATTTACTGTGGGACTTGTTGAAATTAATACACTTTCAAGACATTTTTACCTTAATAAATTTCTCTTTTAACCTTTTAATTCTCTGCATTATTCACTACTTTCCTTTCCATTGCATTGTTTTTCAAGTCTCTGCTACTTTACTACTTAATTTCAGTCATGGTCATTTTCTGTTGCCATAGCAGGATATGATGACACAACTGCAAAATTCAAACATGCTATTATTCATTCATCTGTTTCTTGCAGTGGCAGGATAAAATGTTTGCTTTGCAAGCAGAATCACATTTTGAATGTTAAATTTTAAAAGTTAGGAATTGTGTGTGTGTATGTGAGAGAGTTCAGTCACTAAGAGGAAAGATATCCCCATGTTTGAGGGAAGGTCCCAATTGGTGTTGTCACTAGAGCATGCTGGGAAGAAGAGAGAGATAAGAGAACGAAGACAGAAAGTGTACTATTTTTTATAGGTGCTTAATAGTGACCTGTAATGACTTCTTGTGGTGTCACAAAGTACATGCCTTTTAATTTTTCGCACCATCATCTCTCTATGATATACATGTGCACACAGGTTTATATATGTAATATATATTTTATTTCTTTCCTTTTACAGACCCTCAGAACGACCATCTATATATGGAGTTTCTGACTACATGGATATGTCTGGTCGGCATCAAAAAGAATGGTCCCAAATTTGCTCTAAAATGACAGATAAAGCCTCTTCCAATGTTGTGTCAGTGGTAAGTGATTTTTGACTAATTTTTCATTTTTATATGTTAATCTAATATAATTTTATTAAACTTCATTGGAAGAAATTTGTTTTTAAAGAAAATAGGTGTATAATATGTTCCAAGGGGGCGGGGAAATCACCTTTAATAAACTTCATAGTAATGAAAGTTTTATTAAAAATATATCATGATGTTATAGTTTATCATGATCACAAGTCCCGTAACCAATAATAGCGGCATCACATGTACTGCAGCTGTAACAACAGTGGTGTGTCTTGGGCAAGATAACCTGATGGAACCCAACCCTCTCAGGCTGGTTTCAATTCAGTTTTCATTCTAGACTGTTTGTACACCAAGTCCATAGGTGTCAGTCTGCCCTGCTATTTATCCATAGCTGGGGGTGGGGAATGATGCATTCATACCTTTCCTAAGAGCATTTGCATATAAGTGAATAAAAAAGAATGCAACAAACTCAGCCAGAATTCAAGCTCACCTCTTTGATTTCTCATTCCGAGCCGATACCTGTTTCTCATTCCGAGTCGATATCCATTTGAACCAATAGCTTTATCTACTGCAAGGAAAATTGGTTCTCGGTGTCATGAGAAGAAAGTTTTTCTCACCCAAGTCCACCCTTCAAATCAACCATTTGCCCTTGTATGGAATACTGCTGCCAAATATGGTCTGGAGCTCCCGCTGTTCATCTTAAGGTCCTTAACAAAATCCAGATACAGATGTGCAATGTGACTGGCCCTGATCTGGCATCCAATTTACAGTTGCTCTCTCACAGCTTTCCTCTCTTTTCTACAAATACTTTGACAGTAACTGCCCCAATGACCTACTTTCACTGGTTCCCAAACTGCATGAATTTAAACCTGCTACTAGGTTGGCATCCCACCCTTTCACTGTCAAAATGGTTAAATATAGCCGCCTCTTTTACTCCGATAGCATCATGCCTCGCATTTCCCATCTGTGGAACTCCCTTCCTCTTACTTGCTTCCCTGATAGCTATAATCTCCAACTATTCAAATGCAATGTCAATTGACATCTCCAGATGCCTTGATTTATTCCCCATCCTTCTCTTCATCATGCCTCTTTACTTTTGCTCCCACTCTCTGTAACCCATTGTGTGCTAGTGACACTCCTGCCTTGCTTGGGGTGTAATGCTTAAAAAAAAAAAACCATTTCTCATTCGGAGCCGATACCCATTTCTCATTCGGAGCCGATACCCATTTCTCATTCGGAGCCGATACCCATTTCTCATTCGGAGCCGATACCCATTTCTCATTCGGAGCCGATACCCATTTCTCATTCGAGCCGGCGAACCCATTTCTCATCAGACCGATACCCATTCTCATTTAATTTATCATTTCTCATTGGAGCCGATACCCATTTCTCATTAAGATACCCATTTCTCATTGAACCTTTTTACCCATTTCTCATAGCCGATACCCATTTTCATTAGAATACCCACCGATATTCATTCTATCACTGTACATCCTTAATAGTTTATACAATTACATAAGTTAAGTGAAAAGGAAAATTCTGTCTATAAACATAAATAGACAATGTTTAACATTTGTGCCTGCAAAAAACAATGTTGTGTCAAAAGCATGGTTATTTCACTGACACCACCATTACTGTGAACATTTTTAACTCCCTCAGCAATGTTTACAAGATTATAAGAATATGAAGCAAGTACAATGTGGTATTTATTATTTATCTTTTATAAAAAATCACTACCATTTTATAAAGAAATAAATTTGAAAAGAAATATTTTTATTCAAAAATTTATATAAAAATTATCAAAATTATATAAAAACCAACAACAATGCAATATTTGCAGAAAAATCAGACATTCTGTAATTAAAGACAAGGAAAACTTTTGTCTACCCAATGAATAGGGAGATATATGCTCAAAATATTCAGTATTTGTGGACTTGTATAAAATTAAAAGAATATTTGTTTTGGAGGAAGAAATGTTCTCTAGTGAATTTATGTGGTGAGAACAAATGAAAGAAAAGCACAGAAAATGCATCTTTTCAAAATTTATAATTAGTTACTCATTGTTATGTCTTTATTTAAAATTTCTTTTTCACAGACATTTCTGTAAAATTATAATTAAAAAATTTCTTTATATATTGTCAAAATTTTATAAAATAGTAAATAATAAATATTTTTATTATAAGTGAGTTATAAATATTTTTTATAAATTACAAATGAGCAATCTAATAAATAAGATGTTTAATAAAGAAAATGCATAAATCTAAAATATAAATAATGTTTGAGTATTCTTAAAAAATTATTAAAAAATTTATAAAAAATTATACAATTATCAAAATATGTAAATGAAAAAAAAAGCAATATTTGTGATAAAAATTAGACACATTCTGTAATTAAAGACAAGGAAACCTTCTCTCCATCCAATAAATAGCAAGATATACAATCAAAATATTGAATGTTTTTGCTTCTGCCTAAAATCTAAAATGAAAAGAATGTTTGGTTCAGAGGAAGAGATGTTCTTAACTCTTAACTTATTTTAGTGAATTTATGTGGCAAGAGCAAATAAAAGAAATGTCTAGAAAATGCATCTTTTCAAAATTTATAATTATAGTTACTCATTGTTACATGTTTATTTAAATTTTCTTTTTCACAGATATTTTTATAAAATCATGAATAAAAAAAATTGTTTTCAAATTATCTTTTATAAAGCAACTGGTCTACATGCAGAAAGAAATGACAGCCTACTGTGGAAAAAACTCTGCCTCGTCAGTCATGTATCGAAAGATACATAATCGTTTGAGTATCACACATTGCACATTACTGACTGACTGATAATTAAAAAGTATTAAGTATTATATATTAAGTATTAAAAAGTATTATTAAATGAACCAGCACTGAATAGGGAGATACATGCTCAAAATATTCAGTGTTTGTGGATTGATATAAAATTAAAAGAATATTTGGTTTAGAAGAATAAATGTCCTTAACGTATTTTAGTAAATTTATGTGGTGAGAACAAATAAAAGAAATGTCCAGAAAATGCATCTTTTCAAAACTTATAATTACGGCTACTCGTTGTTACGTGTTTATTTAAATTTTCTTTTTCACAGACCTTTCTGTAAATTCGTGTATAAAAACAAATTATTTTCAAATTTATTTCTTTATAAAAAAAAAAAACCCTGAAATGTACAAGTATAATTAAAAAGCGTGGTGGAGTAATGGATAGCAGTTTGGACTGAGGAAACAGAGAGCTGAGTTCGAATTTTAGTCAAATCCATTACATTCACTTACATACTAATAACTCTTGTGAAAGGTATGAATCTTGCTCTTCTCCACCCAGCTATGGGTAAATAGCAGCACAGACCGGCAACTGGTCTACCGCAGAAAGAAATGGCAACCTACTGTGAGGAAAAATCTGCTTCGTCAGTCATGTATCAAAAGATAAATGATCACCTAAGTGTGTATCATGCATGGCACATAACTGACTGTATGACATACCCTTGGGAAAGTATGAATCCTCCTCTTCTCCCACCCAGCTATGGGTAAATAGCAGGACAGACCGGGTTCTATAGTCTTGGATGGCAACTGGTCTACTGCAGAAAGAAATGGCAACCTACAGTGCGGAAAAAAATCTGCCTTGTCAGTCATGTATTGAAAGATACATGATCACCTAAGTTATGTGCCAGTCAGTTATGTGCCGTGCATGATACATGCATGGCACATAACTGACTGAATGATAATTAAAAAGTATTAAAAAGTATTATATATAAAGTATTAAAAAATTATATATAAAGTATTAAAAAGTATTATATATAAAATATTAAAAAGTATTAAGTATTATATATAAAGTATTAAGTATTATATATAAAGTATTAAGTATTATAAAGTATTAAGTATTATATATAAAGTATTAAGTATTACATATAAAATATTAAGTATTATATATAAAGAATTAAAATGAACCGGCATTATAAAAATAATATAGAATGCATTAAATATTAGTCTCCATGAAATAATACATTTAAAAGTAAAATGACATAATTTTATTGATAGTGCTATAAAGCAAGTTTTCCTTTTCTGATGGAAAAGAGAAAAAGATTCTAGGATTAAAAGTTAATGTTGAAATGATAAAAATGTATCGGGAAAAGACTAAGAAATTTGAAAATTAAAAAAATTGTGTCAGCAAACAAAGAAATAAAAGCTGAAAATGTATGTTACAAATATTTTCATGGCAACTTTTGATGAGCATTTTTTCCCTGGTGCCTTGGCTACATTAATTAAAGCATGCTACTAGATTAGTTAGTAGATCTCCCAATTTTACTGTTGAACTAGGCACTTTTAATCTAACAATTTCTTTTCTCACTCTTCTCATCTGCAGAACTCCCTTTCTATTTCTTGCTTCAAAAATTTAAGTTCAACATCTACTGCCTTCCGAAAACCTGTTCCTTCCTTGTCCTTTCCTCATTCTTCTCATTCTCTTTCACTTTCACTTTCACTCTCTGTAAACTCAGCATTTTAGTGACATTATCACCTTGCTTGGGGTGAAATGATTAAAATATATATATATTCTATATATTTTATTGTTTAAGAAAAGAAAAAAATCAAGGATAACAATGTACCCCCTAAAAATAATCTTTATTGTACTAAAGAAATATACAAAGCTTGGCTGAAAAATTCATAGGCTGACTATGATTTAAATGTAAGTAGACACACCAGTTGTTAGACTAAAAAACATGCAAGTGCAGCAGAATACAATAGCTGGACAACCAGCTTTATGTTGTGTGTGTGTGGTTGTTTGTCAAAATAAATTCTGAGAGGGGAGGGGTTTATTTCTATGGTAGTAAGTATTGTATATTTTTGTTTTCTTTCCTCTGCTGAGTTGTGTGAGAGTTGTAGTGATTTCATTCTTAGTGAATTTTCTGTTTCACTTCCAAACACAGCCAAGACAGCTTGGTCCTGTTTGAAAAACAGACATATTAAGATTTATTTATAAAAAAAAGTTTGCAAATAGA